TCCACGGCGGGAGACGCATGGCAGCTGATGTAGTGCGCCTTTATATCCTTATACGGGTATTTACCCTTCGCTTTGAAACTGCATACCGAACATTTGTAACTCAATGCGTTGCACTTTTTCAGATGTTTCGCTAAATGCGGCGGGTCGCTGTATTCGCCCTTTACTTTACCCGCCCCCTCCGCTCCGAAACACCTACGACATTTAACCTTAGGGGGCACCGGGTAATCCAGATAATGCGTCTGTGGATCCGCCATTTTGGATGCGCAACGAGCTTAACGGACGTTCGGTTAAAGGGGCCTTCCGATGTACCGGCCCCTCGATCGATCGCGGTGACCCGCGACTGGTCGGCTCGTATCCGCTAATCAGGTAACTTTGTCCAATTTCAAAAATTTTAAAATGTACGTACTTTACTATGCGCATCCGCCACAACGAACCCACTGAGCGAACACAGCGTGGTTTTCGAACCGTTTGCACTCGCGACCCTATCCGACCAATCAGAACACTCTAGTAACTTTGTACGTGACTGTCTGATTTTATGAACTTGTACCTGTAAGAGTGGTTTTGCGAACAGGCTGCCGACGATGATTTTGGCAACGCACTCCCGATCGCGATGACTTTACGAATCTCGTACTTATAGAATTTTGCGATCGCGATGACAGCCACGTACGTACGCTTAACCTAACTTCGCGACGCGTATAACTGTTAACGAAAATCGCTTCTCGGCGGAGAATATATATCGCGGATACTCTCACTCGAAGTAATAGCACGTATATCGGTAGTATCTCTAAGTTAGATCGCGCGATGCACCCGCCGTGACAGCCGTATGCACCGGTGCGCTCGCGATGCACCCGTCGAGCGACGGTCGTATATCTCGATGTTTTACGTTGAGAGATGGTATTTTACGTTAATAGCAAGTAATAAATATAATAAATAGACAGATTAAGTATATAATTGACCACCTATAGCTGGAAAACGAGCATCATGTATGTGCATGCACCGTCGCTCTCTCGATGCATCGACCACGCGCCGGTCACGCACGCCGATGTTGCGCGTGTGTTTATGATAAATAGGACAAATAGATAAATAAATTTATTGATAAACAGATAGGCAGTACATAAATATATGATGTATAATGCGAGACACGCAGCGAGTCGCCGTTACAACGCTACGTGGAGGCTGTCAGCGACGGATGCGTCAGGTACGACGCGCGGGTGTCGCGCCGCTGCGGCCTTCGCGTTCCATGCGTTCAGCTGTCTCAGGCGTATTCGTTGACAAAAGTATGACTTTACATAAAGGGTGTCTCAAAATTAGTATAGTGTCCT